ATATTTAGCCGAAAACTCTTTTTGATTTAATTTCAACCCATTGGTTCTGGTCCAACCTTCTGGGGAACAGAAAACAACTCTGCACTATTCTCTATATGACAGCTCTTCAAGTACTTAAAGACTGTTATCATATCACCTCTTAGTCGTCTCCTCTCCAGGCTAAACATACCCAGCTCCTTCAGCCTTTCCTCATAGGACTTGGTCTCCAGACCCCTCATCATCTTTGTTGCCCTCCTCTGGACACATTCCAGCTTGTCTATATCCTTCTTTAATTGTGGTGTCCAAAACTGAACACAGTACTCTAGGTGAGGTCTAACCAGAGCAAAGTAGAAGAGAAGAAGAAGAGAAGAGATTGGATTTATACCCCGTCCTTCACTACCCAGAGGAGTCTCAGAGTAGCTTACAAATGCCTTTTCCCATCCCTTCCCCACAACAGACACCCTGTGAGGTAGGTGGGGCTGAGAGAGCTCTTGACAGAAACTGCTCTTTTTCAAGAACAGCTCTTATCAGAACTACGGCTTGCCCAAGGTCATCCAGCCAGGTGCAAGTGGAGGAGTGGGGAATCAAACCCGGTTCTCCCAGATTAGAGTCTGCACAGTTAACCACTACACCAAACTGGCTCTCCTACATCAAACTGATAAAGTGATACCATCACTTCGTGTGATCTGGACACTATACTTCTGTTGATACAGCCCAAAATCACATTTTCCTTTTTAGCTACCACATCACACTGCTGTCTCATGTTCAGTGTATGGTCTAATACTCGTAGATCATCAGTCATCAGTTGACCTTTATTGGCATAAAATACCTTTAAAAGGATTACTATAAAATATGTATATATACATGTAAAACCAAGTGTAACCATACATATAAAACGTATAAAACATAATGTAGGATAAAACAATTACTCATTGTAAGTTTTCCTGACGTAGCTTTTTTGCTGAGCACCCTTTCCCTTGCAAGAGAAGACTCAGGAAAAGTAGGAATTGAGCAGTTCTGCCCTCTCTTCATCACCTGTTACAATTTCACTTTCCTGTCCCTGCAATGGGCCTACCATGTCCTTGCTCTTTTCTTACTTTGAACATAAGAAAAGAACCTTTTTTTTTTTGCTTTCAGCATCTCTCACTAGCCTAAGCTCATACTGAGCTTTAGCTTTCCTAACTTTTTCACTACAAGCACTGGTTATTTGTTTATATTCATCCTTGGTTATAAGGTCCTCCTTCCACTTTCTAAATGAGTCTTTTTTTATTTCGCAAGTCTTTAGAAAGCTGTTATGGAGCCACCTTGGCTTTTTAGGCTCCTACCATTTTTCCTTTTCATAGGAATTGTTTGTGATTGTGCCCTCAATATTTCGCTTTAAAAAAACTCCCACCCCTCTTGAACTCTCTTCTCCTTAAGTATTTTTGACCATGGGATTCTACCCAGCATAACTTTAAGTTTATCAAAATTTGCTTTCCTGAAGTCCAACCTTGTTGGGTTATGTCATGGTTTGTCTGTCTTTGTTTTACTGATTGCACAGTTGGCACAGCATATTCTGCCTATTTCTAGGAAAGCAGCTAGTATTCACCCACCCACCCCGATACTGTTTGCCCTTTCTGTCTATATGCTAGCTAGCATATGCCAGCAAAACGCTCTCTCCTGTCTCTGGCAGATATAGCTCAGATAGAGTCTGGAACAGCAAACAAGCAGGAGCACCTGTGCTTATATAGCTTTCAGCATTAAGAAAATACAAGCATAAAATGTGTAACATTACAGGAGAAAGAAGAAGATACCCCAGGTATCTGCTATAGTAATGGTTAAAGGCAGAATCACACATATATAGATTCATCCATTCATCTGACTCGGTGTCCATAGCTGAATAGTATAGCATCTATTTAGCATGCATTGGATACCAGGTTTATGTCAGGTTTGTATCCCTTAATATTTTGCATAGGGACTGAGCTATAAGGACAAGTGGACTAACATGGTTAGCCCTCTGGAATTATTATTATTATAAAGATCACTGAGAATATTTATGTGAAGTACTTTAAACACTTAGAAATCCTAGGTGGCATTATATTTGTTTTGCAAGTGACATGTTGCCATATCTGATTCTGATGCTTCTGCTCTTGGGTTGCAGGTGAGAGTGTGGGAGATTAGCAAGAGCACACGTAATTTGGAAGAGGTTATGAAAGAACATATCTCTTCTATTTCATGCATCAAGATCAAGAAGAATAATCGGGAATGTGTCACTGCCAGCATCGATGGAACGTGCATTATCTGGGATCTTGTGTATGGTCATTTTCAAACAAGCCACAGCACTGCAGTATTCCTTCCTCTATAAAGGCTGTTCCACAGGGAGGGTTTTTTCTGCTTTGGCATCCGAATGGGGGTGATTGGGTTTTTTGGAGCATCCACACAAAATCGTGCTCCAACCATTTTTTCCATATTTTCAGTATACTATTTCCCAAACCTGCTTTGCTGTGATCTTTTGGGGAAAAGTGCAATCCAATTTTGTTATCATGCCATCTGGATGAGAAGGTGTGCATTTTCAAAGGTCCTACTCACATTGGCACCATTTTACTTCCATCAAGGCTGCTTGTTTCCTTATGGCACCACCAGAGGGCTTTAAAACAACAACTGGTCATTGCTATAGCATTATAATGGTATTGCACTATAAAGCTACAACTGCTATATCATTTACTGCTTTCAAAAAAAAAAACCTTCCATGATACGGCAAGGAACAACGCAAGGAAAATGATGATTGGTAGAGGAAAGTGCACAAAAAAACTCCTGTGTGGAAACTCTATTGCCAGCACACATGCCTCTGCACTCACAGCAATGATGAATGCCAAATGGAGAATCCTCATTGTGTGAATGCAGCCAGAGAAGCCCAACTGAAGATCTGAAGTTAAGGCTTGGCTATGTAGGCCAATAAGCAGAAAGAAATACCTCAGATATTTCAATACTGGAATACTTTTTGGCTAGTAGCAGAGAGGTGCCATCAATTTCCAGATCAGTAGATAAGTGCCTGAAAAGCAAATGCTACTAGTGAAGGGGGTCTAGCTAGATCTGATAATAAATACATGACTTCTGAAACTGGAGGTTTTTGTTTTTCCTAGTCGTTTCATGAGACGTCAGATGATCCTGGCTAACACCTTATTCAAGTGTGTGTGTTATCATCCAGATGAGCACCAACTTATCACAAGTGGCACAGACAGGAAGGTGAGTGACTAAGCAAAGGAAAGCAATTTCAGACAGGTCCAGCTAGGATAGCCACTGGCTCAGATCTGAGCAATATAAGCTAAAAGCTTATGAAACAGGTTCATAATTGTTCTAGGGGTAAACTTCAGACAGCTTTTCTATATCTAATTTACTTTGGCTTTTAGATTGGTTACTGGGAAGTGTTTGATGGATCCCCAATCAGAGACTTAGAAGGCTCCCTGTCTGGTTCTATCAATGGGATGGATATCACGGCTGATGGAACTTTCTTTGTTACTGGTGAGTTGAGTAAATGAACAAGTGGCTCTGGGATTCCCTCGTGTCAGAGCTATTCTACTTTCCCTCTGCATATGGGCTCCCTTCCTCCACTCCTGCAAGCTGGCAAGATTTAGCATTATGAGGCTAATGTTGAAACTATGCAGTCCTGGGAGACCTGAGAGCTATGTCTCAACTTTTTTTAAAATTACATTTTTATTATTCCATTGTGTCCACATTTGTGAACTGCAGGCTGTTGTCACACACACTAAATAATCCACTTTCAATCCACTTTCAGTGCACTTTCCAACTGGATTTTACTGTGTGAACTCGCAAAATCCAGTTGGAAAGTGCCTTGAAAGTGGATTATTTGTGATTCGCTGTAGAGTGCTTCTCTATAGCACCCATAATTGGAGGAAACCCTTTCAACTTGTCGTTTTAGGTACAGAAGAAGATGCAGGGAAATAGTATTATGCGAGTTAGAATGAACTGTAGGTTTTGAGTGGGATTATGAATATTTATAAGTTATGGGGAAGTTGGATGGGATTCATAAACGGGTAAGATAGGGGTATAGGAAAAGAGGAGGGACTAGAAGAGTGAAAAAATTTTGGTTGTAATAGTAACCTCAGATGGATTTTTTTTTTGTTTCGCGATTGTTAAAAATGGAAAATGAGGATATTGATAAGATGAATAATGAATTTATGTTTGTGTTTTGACTGATATACTTAATAAAAAATGTAAATTAAAAAAAAAAAGTGGATTATTTGGTGTGTGTGACCACAGCCGCAGGCTGGGAATATATTTACAACAGTGGCATGTGGAAGGGGTACTTAGCCTTTTCACTGGGGTTTGTTTGTTTTTTTGTAGTCATAATCATTTCTTCCCTTGCTGCTTTTCAGACAATGGGGGGGGGAGTATAGATTCCCCGTGTATTTTTCTGCAGGTGGAAAAAAGCAGCTGGGAGAAGAGATTTTGAATGCAAAACCAGCCCAACAGGAAACAGTTAAGCAACCTCTCCCCAAGCAGCACGGATGCAATCAAATTTTCAGCCTCTTCCCTTCAAGCTTGTGCTTCATAAATAAATAACATTAAAACCAAATCAGGAGACTAACAACAGATCTCCTGATGTAGGTTTCTGCCAAAGAGTCAGACATCCTCTGAAAAGAGAAGAGAATGGGATTTTGTTTATAGGAACATGAAAGAATAACAGTATGGGAAAGTGAAAGAACAAGTGTAGCCTCTGAAAAGACACCATTTGAAATATGACCCATGTGTGGCTGCTTTTGAAGTTTCCAGTTGAAACAATTGGCAGTGTAGGTGACACTCCCCAACACCCAACTGTCTGTCCTTCAGGCATACCTCCCAAACTTGTTCCCATCCTCATTCGTTTTGGACAACCACCATTTTTATTTGGTTTCCATTTCAGTTCTCAAAACTCCTCTCAGTTTGCTCCTTGAACAGGAGACTTGCTGTCTTTCACTGCACCTAACAGTTCTTCCTCATCTCTACCGCAGGAGGTGATGACCACCTGGTGAAAGTATGGGATTATAATGAGGGTGAAGTGACTTATGTTGGGGTTGGCCACAGTGGCAACATCACCCGCCTGAAGATCTGCCCTAACAACAGATACATTGTGAGTGTAAGCGCTGACGGCGCCATCCTTCGCTGGAAGTACCCTCATACCAAGTGATAGCTCAGAACAGCCATAGTTGCTGCTGAACTTTAAAAAAACCCTGATTTACAATATTCTTTTCAAGTTGACATTGATTTTAAAGCTTAGCAAACCTTGCTACTCCCAGGGGAGATACTGGTTTGTTTGTTTTGCAAAGAGAATGATTCTGAAATAGTCAGACCTTCCCTGGTCTTATTGTTCATAGTTCCAAGTGCTTGCTGTTTGTACTAGTTTCAGTTGATGTTCAGTCCCTCAGCGCCATGAACCTTAGGCTTACGGATATGCATTTATGTTTGTGATTTATTGTATTTGAAATTTCAGTAAAAATTCTTTGTCATGTTACACTCCTTCATAAGGAATCCTGTGTTGTGTATATCTAGTCTTCTGTGTGCACCTTTAATTCTCCTGCTACAAAGACAAAAGGCTTAGAATCGAAATAGTACTTCTACACTTTGGACCGGTTCTTGCCAAATATCATAACAGTGATGCAGTGGGCAATGATGCAGGAATGCTTAACCCCCAACTGTATCTGACAAGTTGCTTATCCAGCTTCCTCCTTTAAACCACTACAGAAGAACAGCCCTAATGTTCTTTCTAAATCTTATTTTACTAGCCAATTATTATGAAGTATAGAAATTGTAAATTTTTTCCTTCTAATCCTCCCCAAGAGAAAAAACGAGTCGATCAGGCAAGATGCTGGTAAATAGGGCCAAATGCAGCATGTCCTTATTTTAAGCAGGAAGAACATAAGGAATCCTCTCTCATCAAGAGACATGTATCCTCTGTAACATGCAAGAAGCAATGATAGCATCCGTTTTGCTGTATCTGTGGTATATATTTCTCCCATTGGTATGGTTGGTGCCTGTGAGGAGCAACTAGCCCATTTCACAGGCTCCACTATGGCTATTTCAAGGATTTAATCTACCTGTCAGCGTCCCCATTGACAGGAATGGCATCTGTGGAAGTATTCTTCCTTGCTGATCATTTCCTAATTTTGAAGAAGCCTCCATCTCACTGCAGCATGCTTCAAGATCGTTCTTATGCTTGATTTGCCTTCTTGTACTGCAGTATATATGGAGCTGCGGTGGCTCAAGTGGTTAAGACGCTGAACTGCAGGCTGTGGAAGGTCAGTAGTTCAGCAGTTCGAGACCCGGGTGCCGCATGACGGAGTGAGCTCCCGTCTCTAGTTCCAGCTCCTGCCAACCTAGCAGTTCGAAAGCAAGAAATTGCAAGTAGATAAATAGGTACCACTTTGGTGGGAAGGTAACAGCGTTTCGTGTGCCTTGGTGTTTAGTCATGCCAGCCACATGACCACGGAAACATCTTCGGACAGCGCTGGCTCTTCGGCTTGGAAACAGAGATGAGCACCGCAACCCTAGAGTCGGATTCGACTGGCTTTCGAGCAAGGGAACCTTTACCTTTACCTTTTTTACTGCAGTATATACATAACTAGGGGCCATGTTACCATTTGGTTTAGAACTGCAAGTGAACAGCATTGACCACGTTAGAGTGGTAGAATGAATCTACCTCTTTTGCCCCCAACAGCAGTGACTAAAAACATGTAGCATAGGTCTTCTTTTGGATAACAAGGGATGCTTTCTGCTTTTGGCAGGAACCCACAAGATATCAGCCATACCTTCTTTGCTTTTTTCTTTTGGTCTGCTTGCGCCAGCTCCAGCACCATCTTCAATTCACTGATCTCTTTTTGAGGGTGTATGGCACTCAGCTGGGCTAGTTAGTGCAGGTTACTACCACTCTGTGTTCTTCCTCAAAGCAGGGGAACTGAGCACTGTAGGAGAGACCAGAGTGGGCTGTCAAACCAGTAAGCAAACCACATAAGAATATAAGGCCCCAGTCACACGGGAGGATGTGCTCCGCGGGAGGGACGGATCGGGGGCGCATCAAGCAGGTGCAGTCATACCGCAACATCTGGGAAGCAGCACGCACCCGTCCCCAATCTGTCCCTTCCAGCCAAAAACCCGCCAGAAAAAGGTAGCACCAAAAGAGTACTACCTACCTGTTGATGCGCAGCACGGGCCAGCATCTGATCACCGACGCGCCCATCTCCCTGCAGCATACGGAGGCCCTGTAGAACTGCGCATGCGTGCGCATGCACAATGGGCTCACCTCACTCACCGATCTCTGGCTTCCCCCCGGCATCTGATCATGCCGGGGAGCAACTGCACAGCAGCTCGGGGGATCTGTCTGATCCCGCCGCCACGCTTCTCTTTTGATGCGGCTCAAAAAAGCCGCACTTCAGCCGCACCTTTTCCCCCAGTGTGACTGGAGCCTGAGTTTAGTAGTTACAAACAGCAGCCGAAATGGTAAACCTGTGTCTGGAGTGTACCACTTATCCCTGCGGGG